GGAGGGTAGTAAAAATAAAAAAGCTGACAGATCACATTCCAGAGTGGGAGGAGTGAGATCAGTGGATGTAGGTGGGGCATTACAGTGTGAGTGGGCACATTGTGTGTATAGTAAGTAGTGAAATTGTTTTGGGTGTGGGAATGTGAGCACAGTTGTACTTTCTCACAAAACTGTGACACTGTACTCTGAGTAGAGATGAACTGTGAGCCATCACACACACCTGGACTTGAATAGTTTTTACCAGTAGATCCACACGTGTTGGTTCTCACACACACTCACAGTGTCTGATCTCATTTGCATCACATTTGTTTCTAACATGGCCCTCTGGGAGTTCTTTACTGCACTTGTTATTATGTGGTATGCAAGTGTTCAAAATTTTCTTACTGTTTCGTTACAGTACGTGTTTCGGTCTGTCCTGTGTTATGATGGCCGTGTTCTGCCTACGATCCTGATGGTGAGTAACACAAACTCTAACACACACACATGGCTGTTATATCAATTTACCAGCTGCAAAATATGAGATAAGAAATATGCAAAGTACATATTCTTATGTCTGTGGCAAAGATATGTATCTAACATTGTGAAGCATCACAAACTTTCCACTCTGTTTGAATGTTGACTGACAGGTGGAAGTGCAGCACCTGAGGTCATGATTTACTGTAAGATAACAACGCCAGCCGATCATCTAGAAGAGCAACATTCTCCATGTTAACATAATGTGCTTTACTTGTATTATATTAACACAGTTTGCATAGCTAAGACATGAAGGCTCAGTTTGTAATATTTTGATGATTGAAACTATATTATATGACTCTATTAAACTATGAATATTATCTTAGAAGTGCTGCTAAAAACTCCTTCAGGACATTGTGGTCTGTGTTGGCCCAACTTTTCCATGACAGCCATGCAGGCACAGGACAGTCTGATTATTTAAGATCTAAGTTGCACCATTCCCCTTTGGAAGTACAAGTACATGGCTGCCATCGCTGCCAGAGGTGATTGGAGCCATTCAGTAGTTAGACGAATGAATGTGAAAAATCTGGAGACAATGTGAAGTCTGCCCTCTTTACACTTTTGCACACCTGTCTAATTGCACCTGTTGTAACAGTTCATCTGTCTGTATGGAAAAGCTGGGCCACACAGACCACAATGTCCTGAAGGAGTTTTTAGCAGCACTTCTAAGATTATATTCATAGTTTAATAGAGTCATATAATATAGTTCAATCATCAAAATATTACAAACTGAGCCTTCATGTCTTAGCTATGCAAACTGTGTTATATAATACAAGTAAAGCACATTATGTTAACATGGAGAATGTTGCTCTTCTAGATGATCGGCTGGCGTTGTAATCTTACAGTAAATCATGACCTCAGGTGCTGCACTTCCACCTGTCAGTCAACATTCAAACAGAGTGGAAAGTTTGTGATGCTTCACAATGTTCAGATACATATCTTTGCCACAGACATAAGAATATGTACTTTGCATATTTCTTATCTCATATTTTGCAGCTGGTAAATTGATATACAGCCATGTGTGTGTGTTAGAGTTTGTGTACTCACCATCAGGATCGTAGGCAGACACGGCCATCATAACACAGGACAGACCGAAACACGTACTGTAACGAAACAGTAAGAAAATTTTGAACACTTGCATACCACATATAAACAAGTGCAGTAAAGAAACTCCCAGAGGGCCATGTTAGAAACAAATGTGATGCAAATGAGCTCAGGCACTGTGAGTGTGTGTGAGACCAACACGTGTGGATCTACTGGTAAATGACTATTCAAGTGCAGGTGTGTGTGATGGCTCACAGTTCATCTCTACTCAGAGTACAGTGTCACAGTTTTGTGAGAAAGTACAACTGTGCTCACATTCCCACACCCAAAACAATTTCACTACTTACTATACACACAATGTGCCCACTCACACTGTAATGCCCCACCTACATCCACTGATCTCACTCCTCCCACTCTGGGAATGTGATCTGTCAGCTTTTTTATTTTTACTACAACCTCTATAGTAGTTGAGGAAGTGATTGTTGTTTTATGAGGCTTTCACTCCTCTTTCTCACAATAGCATCAATAAATGAAATGTGTAGTATTCAAGTCTCCATGAGACAATCAACATATTTTCATAAAGCAAATCTGTATCTGAGAAAAGAAGTTAGGTTTTTGTGAATTACACTGAATTATACAATACAGTTTGACATGTCAGCCCCATAGATATGCAAATTACATATGTGAAACACCTATGAATATTCCGACAACCCTTACCTGCCCACTAGGCGTAAAGGACGTGGGCCAAACTTGTCCATCAGGATACCGAGCGGCAGGGTGGTGGCACTGAGTAAGAAGGAGCCTATGGTGAAGCCCAGATTCAGCATCTCCTCCTGGTCCACGCAGCTGACCCACTCCTCCGGCTCACTGCCCGAGGAGTTCCCCAAAGACATGACTAAGGAGTCATTCACTGTACAAACGAGTGTGGAGGGTTGATAGGAGCAGTTAAGAATGTGTAAAGAGAAAGTCCAATCAGAAACATGTCCTGAGACAGGTGTCAGGACCTCAGTGGGTTGGAAGCTAAATCTGTGGGGTTTGGAGATGATTAAGAGGGTAGCCGACAGAAAACAAAACAATTCTGCTGCACAAAAAGTAAATTATTGGATCATTTTACCTTTTGGACTTTTAAAAAGATGAATGAGGAGGAGCTTTCATTGCTTTGTTTTAAGAATCAAATGCCAAAAAAGTTTGAGAATCACTGTCTTAACCGTTGACTTTACCTGTGTGTAAAAATAACAATAATAACTGCAAAATGAACCAATAATTCTCTTTTTTTTAATTTGTTAAAACAAGGTCTTCCCTGATAGAGTAAGAGAAAGACTATAAAGCATGTTTATTCTACCCCCTTTATAAGTTATATTGGGGCTGTGCTTGTTTTGGGTCCGGCTCCAGTTTTATTATTAGTTTTTTTACGTGTCAAACACTAGAAATTAGCTGGGTCATTTTCTTCTGTAACATGTCATCAATTAAAAATCATTTCAGTTTTAATTTTCATAATGCGTGAGGAAAATCATGATGGACCGAGATGATAAAGCAAAGTTAAGTACGTTTTTTTGATCTTAAAGCCACTGTGTCTCCAGGACCCCAAACAGAAGATAAAAATTCAGTGATGCTGATTTTACCTGTGCACAGGTGGGAGTAGAAGCCTTCCCTTTTTAGCATGATGAGCAGGGAGCCCCAACCGAGCAGCACAGCCGAACACAGCAGGTTTTCAATCACCGCTGTCACCGCCATCCACCAGCGCCTCCTGTAGGCCTGGAGGAGAGAGGGCGACATCGCTGCTGCTCTGCGATGGAGGAGAGAGGAGGAGGAACAGAGACAGAGAGAAGGTGAGAAGCAGTTGAATGGGAGAGCAAAATAATCCAACGGTCAGAATAAAGAAAATATTTATGAAATAAATAGTTGATTAGTTGAGTAACAGACAAATTTACCGACAACAATTTTGACAACAAATTGTTCTAGTGCCAAAAATAAAAAAAAATTGGCTGATTTGTTGCTTTGTACCACCACTCAGTCAAAAGTAAATAGAGGTGGTAACCTTGGGCTCTGCAAAATCTTGGGCATTTCACTATTTTCTGAAAGTCAATGGTTGAATGAATGTGCAAAAACTGAATTTATTTCTAGCAATTCTTGCTTAAAAACTGCTTAAACTTGTGATTATTAAGGTTTTCACTGATTTACTGTCAGTTGACAAAATGAATGATTAGTCGACTGATTGTTTCAGCTATAACACAAACAGCACATGATCAGTCCTGACCACTACTAAAAGCTGTTGAAGTTGAGTATGAAATAATCTCATTCATGATCCATTTTCAGTTCTGTTGATAACGAGTTAAAATCATTGATTCCCCAAACAGAGGCAAACATGTGAAAGGTCACCATCTTTCATTCTATTGACTTCCACTTCATAGAAAACTGTGATATTTCATTATAGGGAGACACTACATCTTCCTCTCTGCCTAAAGACAATGCCAATGTGACCAGCCATTGTTTTGTAAATTGTTTTCTAAATCCCAGTTGGGTATCTGACACCTGGCTCTGCATTGTCCTCAGTAATCCACACTGTGCTGTCAACAGAGCAGCTATTTTACCCTTGATTTTGACCAGGGGACACAATGCTGCGCACTCACCCTGCCTGCTTTTGTTTTGGAAATAGGGATTGCGTTTTAAAAGGGTGACATTTCCATCTGAAAGCAGCACAGAGATGAATTGAAGGGGTCTTTCAACAACATGTAACCACAGTTTAGCTTTGGGTTTATCTCTCTGGTTCAGAAGTAAGAGGTGATCCAGCTTTTATGTAAACAACACACAAACAAAACAGAAAACTGACGGCATGACTGATCAAATAGTCAGGTTAGTCATGACCACCTCGAAAGTAAACACACACACACACACAGAACATGTCACAGGTCATTGTAACCTGTGACATGAGTGACCAACACACATGATCCAGTCATGGCCACCCTGCCGGGATCACACACACATCTGGAAAACATCTAAACAAAACACAAAGATCCAAATATAACCAGCTTTTCCATTTGAAGGAAGGGAGAAGGAGAAGAAAGGAACAGAGGGCGGAGAAATCACAGCCACTCGCAGCGAAGGTCTGTCACAGGAAACACACACAGGGGTTCCTAATGAGGGCATCTCTTGAGTGAGTGTGTGTGTGTGTGTGTGTGTGTGTATTGGGCTTGAGACAGAGACAGGATCTAATGGGATAGATTTGTCTCTGCGTGTGCCCTTCAGTCTTCGTATGTGCTCTTGAGCCGTGCGTGTAATGCGATTATCCACAGCCCAGTGAACTGCCTTTGTGCTGAAAAGAAAGTTTGAAAAGGGGGATTTCTTTGTAATTGACACCCCACAATGAAAAACCTACTAGCACAAACCTAACCTAGCACATTCCACAACACATTCACATCACACATCTTCACACACAAGTAAGTAGTTGGGGCATAGAGTATGAAGATTCGCACACAAACTCACACACACACACATTCACATACAACACACCACACACAACACCACACACACACACACATCACACACAACTCACACACACACACACACACACACACACATAACACACACATAACTCCCAGACACTCAACAATGAGGTAACAGAGCGAGAGGGTGCTCGTTGACCCTGCTCTGTAAATGTATAACAAACCAATTAACCTGTTAATTAAGAGTACACACTTAACAGTACAAAAAGTACTGTGTGTACAAGAATACACACAGTAAAAAGGGTTTGGATATGGGTGTCTCTCATCAGAGTCGACAGTAATAACTAACTGGCTAGCTGCAACTACTGACACTACTGTTTCCAAATCAAATAATGTTATTTTCTCCATTAATTGTTTGTAAAGTAGTAAAATAAAATGCCCATCACAATAGGCTTTAGTAAATCTCCAAGGTGACTTTATTAAATGTCTTGTTTTGTGGGACCACCAGTCCAAGCCCCCAAATCTTCAATTTAATGTAAGACCAAGACAGAGAAAAAACGATTTAATAAGTTATCTAAACAGTTATATAATAGCATTAATTTCCTGTTAATCAACTAACGATTACATTTACTCATTTAGCAGATGCGATTATTACTGTAAAGCGACTTAGAAGTGAGGAACAACACTAAAGCTTCAGTGCAGTAGGAGACCTCGGTGTAAGTACTAAGATCTACATCTACTCAACAAGCGCAAGGAGATCAGGTAGAGAAGTGCAGTGAAAGTGCATAGGAATACTAGTAAGGCTTGATAGGGTGTTAGAGATGTTAGGAGAAGAGACGCTCTCAGAATAGTTGGGTCTTCAAGAGACTGTTGAAGATAGAGAGGGACGACTGCTCTGATAGGATTTGGTAGCTTGTTGCACCATCGGGGAACCGCAGATGAGAACAGTCTGGACTGCGACTGCCTTACATGCAGTCACATAAACAACGCCAGACGACATTCCTCAGAGGAACGTAGTGACCGAGAAAGAGCATAAGCCTGTACAATTGAGTTCAAGTAGATGGGTGAAGACCTCGAAATCCCTCTGTACACAAGCATTAGTGACTTGAATTTGATCCGGGTGGCCATGGGTAGCATCTAATTAATTATTCAACTAGTCAATCAACTACCAGCTCTAATGAACACAACACATACACACTAATGAAGTAAATAAATGAAAATGACAATGTCATATAGGCTTTCATTACGCTTTTAAACCCAGGTGTAAATCCACATTTGTGTGCCGAATACCAACTACTGGCTGTGTTACTCTAAGCTTCATTAATCCTCTGTCTACACTTTCACAACCAACGCACTCAGAGATACAGAGTCTTGTGACTTTAACATTTTAGTCTCAGGACTGTAAGAGACGTAAAAGTCATAAAGTATTTGTTCATGTGTTGATGCAGCAGAGTGGACGGACAGAGCAGTCTTTCAGACATGAAAGACCTAAGTATAGAGGCGACTGTCACATGGATTGGATTTTCCCGTGTTGTGGCGGCACCATGAGCATCAACGCACACAATAGATACTACGCATTGCATAGACACTAACGATAGCCATTACTCCGGGGGGACACAATGTTGTAAATACAACAGGGAGTCTGTCAGGAAAATAGTGTGCGAGTCTGTAAGAAAGGCCACGGTATCAGTTGCTCCTCTGTGTGTATTTGAGCTCAGGTTATACGGCCACGTGGACTGATGCACGACACACAAGTCTGGCAAGTCTAACTCAACAGTCTGGCCTGCTGCCTCCACCTCCACCTTACTTTTTCACACATTCTTGTGCCGCTTGGTGCCACAGTAGTTACTTGGAAACTGCACGTGTTCATGATGGAGAGCAGGTTGACAACTATTAACTACATGCTGTGGTTAATAATAAGGAGTGTCCTGGTGCTGTGAAAGCTCCAAAGTCAACACACAACAACGACTCGCAAACAAGCTAAAACATGAAACTTTTTAGGGTTGGCAGGCAGCTGTGAACCACTGTAGTAAACTGTGAAGTGTGTATGTGTGTGTAGCCCGTGTGTGTGTGTGTGCATGAATGTGTGTGCAGTGGGAGAGCAGGTGAAGTCTTCAATGGGAAGAACACCATATAAGGAGGGTGTTTCCTGAAATACCTGAAAGCTGAGTGATGTAATGTAGCCATGACTAACTTAACTGTTATGGCCATGGAGAGTTTCTGTATTTCTGAGGGAGGTGGTTATAGGACATTTTGGATTACAATTATCAAAACAAACCTTTTCTGCTGCTTCTGTATTAACATTTAAGTTGGTTATGACATATTTAATTCATCACGTGTCTTGCTTTCTTTCAAGTCTTGCTGCTGCTGCTCCCATCCAGCCCTGCTCTTTTTTCCCCGTGGGGATATTTCTGACCTTGACCAGCCGTGTTTATCAACCTCTGCAGGACATAAAGGACCGCAGGGCAAACTCTTTATTCTCACAGGTTTCCAAGAAAATAAACCTCGCGCCGTAGGAGCCTCTGTTCCCCGAGGAGTCCAAAAACGCAACCCCCGAAGCCGCCTGGCTGGCAAGCAGCTGTCTCTCCGCGTGCATGACCTCAGCCCCGGGTCCTCTTACCGGCACCGCTGGGTGGCAGCTGAAAAAGGCCCGTTCACGTGCTGTGCGAAATGTCGGAATTCATCCTATTTCTGTATGGCTGAAGGCTGAAATGATAAGTGGATTAGTTGATTGATAGACGACTAATTGATGGTAAAATTGACGGATTAGGCCATTTGACAAGCTAAGAATGCTAGCACTAAAACAACAGCTAGCCTTTTTGATTGACCTATTAACCTAATTTCTTAAGAACAAAATCTCTGGTTTCTCAAAAAATAATATTTGCTTTATTAGTTTCATATTATAGTAAATTAATAATCTGTGGGTTTTTCGACTATTAGTTACACAAATTTGAAAAATACCACTTTGGGTCTGGGAACTATGCAAATGCTGTGGCTCTCATGGTCATAAGCAATATTTCCACTATTTTCTGATGTTTTATAGACACAGTGATTAATTGAGTCAATGATCAGCTAATCAACTGATAAGGAAAACAACTGTAACTGCTGTAGCCTTCAAAAATATCAAACATTTGATGGTTCCAGCTTCTCAATGTGAGGATTTGCTGTTTTTCTGAGTTTTATATGAATGTAAATGAAATATCTTTGGGGTTTGGACTGTTAATAAAAACATAATTTTTCCTGATATTCTATAAATTGATATGACTTTAGTCTCTAGATTCATCAACAATGACAGTAATTGACCCAGTACTGCTTTAATTGATTGAAGTTTTTTTTCATTGTGGTGGTTATTTTCTCATTTCATTCATCTCACAGTTTATCGAAGTGATTTCATGCAAAACAATCCACTTGAACAGGCTTTTAAAGTTTAATTGTGTCTTTGATTTAAACTGAATCATGGTTCATACAAAATCTAACTCTAACGTGTGCACGTGAAAGCAACATACGCTGTGTCTTTATCTTCCTGATACAATCGTGTGTGTGCGCCCACTGCTTCTGGCTGAAAAGAAAAGACTATATATATATATATATTGATAAAAAAAAAAAAGGTACAAAACAGAGTTCAATAAAACGTATGTTTGTAGCTCTGTGCGTAGAAGCTTACAGCTCCATCACTGAACTTACTAAAGCAGCAGTTTACTAAGAGTGAAAGACAGGATTAACGAGGAAATTACAGTAAAAGCATGCAGTCACAACAGCCCGCTCCTTTCAGTTGCAGCCTACTACACATCCTCGTTTGCTATTTGATACCGACATTTCTCTCCTGTCTGTGGACGTAGAGACTTTCAGGCTTTTTCTATCACGCACACAAACACGCACATACGCGAAGTTTTGAAACAAGACTTTGGTATGTAACGTAAAAAGTTGTGATGTTTCATCAGACTCATGCCACGTGTGAGTATCAGCAGCCGGTTAGCTTCATGCCACCACTTCACACACCTTATTACAGTTAATACTACACTTATTAACACAGAGAAGCAACACGGTGAAGATTTGAGGTGGAAAAAAACTTATTTACTTACTTAAGTTGTTCTCAAAGAGGGAAAATGCTTGAAATGTTTCTTTTAAAGGCTTTTGTTGCTCAATAAGTGAAAAGAAGATGATTAAAAATCTACTCTCACAGCTGAATGTTGTTTTTGTTGATTAGTAAACAGTGAGAACCTCAACCCCTCAATTAAACCTTTTTCTTTCCCTTCTTCCTTTCTTCCTTTTGGAGGTCTCGTGGTAGTTCCTGTGAGACTCCACACTTCTTTTCTCTCTCTGGTTTCATTACAGACTCCCCCTCTTCTCCTAATTTGACTTCTAATTCCCTCCCTCTCTCTGTTTCTTATGCTGCTAAGGGGTGGAGAGAAGTCACCACCCTTCATTCATGCTGTATAGGACAAATGTCTTTACTCCACTCACTGCAATGCAAATGTCCTTCACAGGACCTGCAGCTGTGGACTTTTTAGCATTTTAAATACAAAAATGTGGTGAATTGAAATTAGCTATTCATCAATAATTAAGCTGTACACACACTATTACTTTTTAATCAACAAATGAGCCTTGAATACAAACATTAGTTTTTTTTAAAAGACACAGATCTGCATCACTTTATAACTCACATTTCCCTAACAGTTAATAGAGCATGTATTCTAATGGCCATTTGTTTACACATCTACAGCAGGAAAACTGAGGCAAAAGTCTCTGCTGCCTGTGTAAATAATGTTCAAAGCTACTAAACAGGAAAAACAAATGACATCTCAGTCCACCAAAGCAAATTAGTTCAGTGATGCACCCTACAGAATGACTGCCCACCAAGATACTGAGACGTTTCAAAAGCACTCACTGTTACTTTTAATTTTGTCAGTGTTTCTGTCCGTCTACTTCAAAGTAATAAACATGCTTTTTGATCAGTGATATTTGTGTTTCAAAGATACATTATAATCTATTTTGAGCTGTAATTCTTAATATGATTTTACTGCACGAGCAGTGCAACGCTGACATTGACCTTTACTAAAACAAAAAAATCTTGCAAGACATTAATAGATCTCTACCATTACTGACATTTGAAACTGTCAATTCATTGGATGATAGTAACATACAACAAATAGCATGGCAACACTTATTTATTTTTGTCATGTGATCTTATATATTTACTCAAACTCTTGACTGTAGAGAATATATTTTTGTGATATTTTCCTTTATATACGGCAGTCAGCAGGCAATTTTGGAGAGAAACACTCAACTCAAAATTTAAATTTTACCGGTAAACAAACAAGGTCGCTGTTTACATTCTGTGTTTCTCACCCTAGCTAACTGTCTATATCCTTAAGGCCTGACAAATGTATTGAGTGCATTTCCCGCTTTGTAAAACATTTTAAACCTGCATTGTTTACATCCGTGTTACCTTGCTAACAGTCCTTTACCTGGATGTCTATGTTTTATTTGTATATTTTATTGTGTTATTTTTGAATTGTAAACTAGAATATTAATGTTATTGTTATTGTTATAACCCACTGGCAGGGATGTGCGCTACGAGCATCCAGGAGATCAAATAAAACAGATAAATAGGGGAACCACTCATAAAAACATTGCCCCATAGTGCTGCTTGTGGTTGAAAACTCTATGAGTTGCCTTCAAACATAAGATTTGATTGAGATGACTTTAAGAGGTGGCATGACTGCGTACAAAGTCATTGGAAATTCAAACAAGTTGAAAGCTGAAATTGAAAACTAAACACACCTTTATGCCTTTTCATACACTTTCTTTGTCAGAGGTCAGAGGTCTTCTGTTTAAATGGGGAGGCCACGGCTTTCTAAGGAGTGTCTCTCTACTGCATTTAGGCCTTCAGATTTATTGGGGTATTACAGGAGGTCTCTGGCCTCCAAGAGGAAAAGGTTGAGAACCTTTGGCCCCCAATTCCCACTTCAAACACAGAGATCCAGCTAATTCAAGACACAAATGATCAAGGCCTGCTGGTAATAAAGCTTAAAATATCTGAGACGGGACAGTATTCTTCAAAGAGGAACTAGAGGCAGAGAAGTTGGTTGTTTAGAACATAATGTAGATCATCAGCTTACACCAGCTTAACTTTCCTGTATGCACAGAACATTTAGCTTCCATCTCTTTTGCTTTCTTGGATCGACGGCTGAGCTCTAGTAATTCTCAAGTAATTCTGGTTTCCATACAAAAGCATTAGTTCTGCGTACTCATGACTCTAGACAGGGTTCGAACCACAAAAGAAAATCGGCACCCTGCTGGGCTCTACGGGGAAGTGTCCAGCTTTCCATTTCAAGCCTATAGCAATTTGCCATAGTTTGCGCTGGTTAGTCGCTGCTATACACTTGGTCATGAAACATTTGTTCCAGCTGCAGGGGCAAATCAGGGAACTCTGGGCCCCAATTTCTTAATAAAATAATCCTCTTGGAATTTGTGTGAGCTCTCTCCAGCTGTGGACACCTGGAAATTTAACTTCACCTGCAAACTGCGCTGACCACGTGAACAAGTCCAAGTCAGGTCAGTTTAAACTCAGGTGGACCATGTCATAATGTACTTTCCTCACAGTGGGGAAACCTGCTGAAATATTTAGCTGAGCGATTGTGCAGCACAGAAAGACCAAGTCCGGTTTTAGTAGGATCAATCAGAAATAGGTGCATAAGCTAGTGAAAAATAAAATAAAGTTGAGGTGTAAGTTATGAGACTATGATGATTTCTAACCCCCAATATTTCTGCAGTTTTGGATTGTGCTACATGCAAATTACAAAACAATGTTTGAGTCATTGCAGTGAAGTGACATTTATACATTACAACTGAATGCTTCCTGTTGGCTCCAAAACTATTTTAGCAGCATTTTCTCTTGAAATAACAAGACTACAGTGACTACAGAGGTGGCAGTGAGCACCAAAAATCCAGGCTTCAAAAAAGAAAAATATAGGTGATGTTACAGATGCTATGTCCATGTTTTCCAAAAACCTACAGCCAAAAATACTGTTGATTCAATTCATCAGTAACTTTTCAGGTTTTACTGCGATGTGTAGTATTGGATCACATCATATTGTGCAGACGTTGCCTCTGTGGTGTCCTTCCCATTTAATTGCAAGTGCCAAGACTGAGTTCTTCACACCATCATTTGGCAGATTTTTGAAGTTTGGCAGTGCATCAAAAAAATCCTACTGTTTGAACTCTAAAATGTTTTTTCTGTACGGAGTCAGACGCCTATTTTAGTTTTCATCATACTCAGGAAAGAAAACTTGCAAAGGATACATGCAGCAGTCTGGACTCCTGATACACGGCTCCGCCTGCTGGACAAGCAGCAGTACTGATGAGGGATTAAGGCAACAACCACAGGGAAGGATAAAATATTTAACAGATCGGTCAGTGAACATGTGTTGACCATGCACACATATCTAGTTTCATGCAGGTCCCTGATCTCTAAGTCATAGAAAAGCCAAAAGACTACACCTTTTATTTTCATCTTGAAGCGATTAAATTAAAAACTTTATATCTGATTCAAGAAGTCGTGGTTTTATTTGTATTATTTTATAAACAGATAAAGATAGTTTTAAATTATTATGGAATCTACCCGTGAGAATATTGTGATGCTTTTGTGGTTATGATTCTTATTTTTAATGTCTATATCACAGGGAGGTCAAAGGTCAAGTCAACTTCAAAACAGCACCTGAGTGTATACAGTGTGTCTCTCAGGGACGTTTCAGCGAGTCCACAGTCCATCTGCTCGCTGTGCAGCCCTTCTCGCCAAAGCAAAGCAGCACTTTTAATGATGTACAGCATGTAAATAATTAGTTAATGGGTGACACATTTGGAACAAACATGAGGAAATCAGGCAACGGAAAAATATATTAATGAAGCATTTCCGTGGAGCTATACATCATTAATTTAGTCACTGAGAAATGTTAGTTTCAAAACATTATGGTGACCAACTGCTGCAAATTACAGCCATCATTGCTCCTTTCTGTTCATGTTATTACACTGAAAGTGCACAGTAAAGCAAAGGTATCAAAGCCAGTAATTTACAGTAGTGTGCACGGACAGATTTGGAACACACCCTTTGATTCTTCTCCACAGATGTCTCAGCACCAGAGACTGAATAAATTGTTTTATCACCATGAGCGACGGGCAAACTTTGGACAAACAGAGCAGCGTCTGGTGAGTTAAATGAGGACATCTGACTTCCATGAGAGACTCTGAATACACAGACAGCATGTTTAGACTCTTTCATGGATGAATTTGTGCGTAAACCAGACTCAGATTGATCAAATTCAGCAATCGGAGTGGGAGAACAAACACCGAAATATGACTTTAAAACAGAAATCATTACCCAGATTTGTCACAGTTTAGTGGAGAAAGAAGTTCAGAGACTCTTCTTATGGACAAAGAGAGCCCTGCAAGGTATTTCAGTAACAGACTTTTCGGTGGCCAGTGACAAAATTATTGCAAAGAATTATTCAAATAAAGAAATGTGAACATTACAACTGAATTAATCTTTCCTTTAACATGAGCTACAAATTATACAGGAATTCATGAAATGATATTTATTTGAATTACGTGTTGAATGAATAATAATACTAATAATAAATGTATCAATTAAAAAAGTGCTTAATTAAGAAATTGAGAAACACATTTCATTGCTCAGGGAGGCAGAAATTATGATTTGTTTATGATGTGAGTGCCAGCTCTAACAGGAATTAATTCAATTACCAGTTTACACAAAGTAGCCAAAACGCTGGTTCCCTTATCTGAAACGGGGCGTCCTGTATTTCATTATTTTTTAAAGTCCCTGCTACTCTCATCTGTCTGGATGTTTCAAAGATGTTTCTCATGCAGACCAGCACCAGAAAAAAGAAGCTGCTTTGCATTAAGATTTACACTGAGTTATGGTTGAATGGGCAGTTTAAAAAGATCAGTTTCACAGTGACAGACGAAGGTTTTCATCATGTGTGCAAAATGTGTCTGTTTGGTGGTGGAGTGCAAAAAATGTGCATGTGCATATAAAACCCAAACAGACAATGAAATGGCTTCTGAAATGTCACTTCCATATATAAAAAAAATCAATATAATCAATTCTACACATCAATGTCCTAATCAATGCCCTACATTTTATCTAAATTTTTTAATTGTCATTGAGAGTTTTGGGAAGTGATGTATGGAGAAACTTGAGCTTGATAAAACATGAGAAGCCTTCCTCTAAAACATGTAACAATGAAGCGGCGAAAGTATTTATTTCAAACTACATCCTG